GGTACTGCGCCACTCCCCAATGAAACGAAATATAAGTTCAAATTTTAAAGATTCCGCGACATTTTCTTAGGAACGACTATTATTAGGATGTTGTAGGTATTTTTTTTGATGGGGTGTTAGCTGGTTCTTTTGAACCGTTTGCCTTCGCCGCAAATCTAGCCCTTGCTAGATCTATGTTTGACTTCGGTTTATTTGTCAAAGTGTTCAGATTTACTTCGGCACTGTCTTCCAATCCCTTGGCTATTGCAATCCAGCTTCCTCTTTTCCTCTTATATAAATCCATAGACCAATTCCTCCATACAGCTCGCCCAACAAATGAATCTCGAAGAGCGCGTTCGTGCACAACCAGCTCTTCAGCAAATCGTTGCTTAACAAAGATTAAATCCCTCGTTGCCGGCCAAAGGGCATCAACAACATGAGATCCGCTAGAGTGTAATGCCAGTTCAGCAATCTTTCCTGACAACCTAGAAGTTATTTGACGACGGAATTGAGGAGTTGAAGTTGGAAGTGTCAGTGCATCTTGAAGGACGTGGGAAACAACTGGATCCTGAGCGATAGAAATTAAAGTTTCTGGGGTAACTGCGAGAAGACTTGACTGTACTAGTTCGCAGAGAGGACCGGTGGACTTAAGCATTGCCTGCGCGAGGAGAGATCCATGTAATTGCTCTGGAGAGGAAGTATTGGAAGAAGATGTAGTACCGTCATTTTCCTTGTTAGACCGCTGCAGTTTCAACATGTTGTTAATCCTTGAAACCGCATCATCCCCATAAGCCGACAAAAGGGTAGCCGCGAGAGGACCTAGATCTACACCCCGGACAATGCCTCGCTCAATCAAAGCTTTTATGACAGTAAGCCGTGAGCGCTCCACTAAGGGCGGAACTTCAGGGAGAATCAGGTCCATGGCACTCTTTAGATCTTCTTTGCTTAATCTTTCCAAAATTCGCACAACAACATGTCCAGCAATCTCGTTCCTTGAGAATGATCCTATTCGCTCCCGAACTATAATTTTGTAGAATAGCTTAAAAAACTTTCCTGGGGCATCTTGGACTATCGTTTCCAATAGTCGCGAGCCAACGGGGTCATAAAAGAGGCCCTTTAGGAATGTTGCGCTCTCACCGTCTTCCTGCAAGTTCTCATCCGGGACAAGTCTCCGTAATACGGAATCGGCATCCTTAGCTTTTGATTTTCCCATATGACTGAGCTCGACTGATAATAAGACTTGTAAAACGGGATTTCCAACGGGATGAGTTGCGAGGGCTCTCAGATAAGTGTTATCGAGACCAGTAACCAAATCTTTCATCATTTTCTCCAAGGCTTTGTTGAACGAAGTTGGAACAGCCTGTTTCTCTGAAATTGAAGGATCCAGTTGTGTGCCAACTTTTGACGCCAGATACTCCTTTTTGCGACTCGCGATAACCGTAGTAGTCGACGGATTGCGCAGAGGTTTGCCAGCCAGTACCAAAAGAAGCACCCTTATTGTATGAGACGCGAATCGCTCAGTTAGCAAGTAACCCCAGTTACCCTCAAGCTCAGAAATTGCTTTCAAGAACAGATCCTCTAGCTGTAATTCACTTGTTGAATCCTCCTCCAAATTTTCCTTCTCCTTGGATGACTTTTTCTTCATTTCCGATGTTACATACTGCGCAGCATGAATAAACAAGCACTCGCAACAGTGGCTCGCGAATCGATGTTGGACGAGGTCGAGGAAGTGACCAATGAACTTGCTGAAGAGGCGTTTAATCTGACTAACGGTAGAAGCTGAAATCAGTTTCTCCATCAGTCTTGAGCATGACTGGCTGCAGGCAATCTTCAACTCCTTCCCGTTGGCTTCTTCGTATACTCGTTCTATAAAAATAGATTTCTCTTCCTCGGTCTCGAACTGGTTAAGTTCGAGGAGACCGCTTGCATGACTAAAATATTCCTGCTCCTCAATATCCAGGAGCCCATAAAAGGCGGTTCCCGTGGAGTCCACTAGCTCCTCATCGAGTGGGATATAGTCGCCCCTTATCTCCAGTTGCTCATACGAACGATTGGGGTAATTGGAGACATCCGAGGATTTCTGTCGTTTCAGCACCGTAGGGTCAGTGATTACATCGTCTCGCTTTCGTTTGGCTTCGGCTCTGCGTCCACGCTTTTGCTTTTCTCTAGGCATGGTGAAAACCCTTTCTCATCTGGCCTTCATTCAATTTAAAATTCCAATAGAACAGACGTCTACGGAAGAATTCAACCAAGAAACTCAAGGCAAGCTCTAATTGACTTGTTCGTTGCTTATCCAACTTTTTTTTTTTTTTTTTTCTTTTTTTCTTTTTTTAATAAGCGGTGGTCCAAGCTTCCCACCTAGCGGCTTACGTTATCAGTCTATCGACTAACTAACGTAATTCCACACCGAGTCGGCCACCAAATTTCTCCACCTACTAATTTAACTGCTCATTCAATTCAACGCGCAATTATGCCACCAAAATGCAAGAAAAACTCTTCAAATTCAGTTGAGCAAGAGGGGAGGATTGAACTCGCGATAAAATCTATTCAAAATGATGAAAAGCTCTCAATTCGTGAAGCTGCAAAGCTATTTAATGTGCCTAGGTCTACTCTTCAAGATCACCTCAAGCACCGGCCCTCACGGGTGAATTTACGCGCAAACTCTCACAAATTATCTGCTGCTGAAGAGGATAGCCTAGTTGAATGGGTGCTGGACCAAGCTAAATGAGGATTCCCCCCCCAGCTGGCATTTGTTGAAGATATTGTTAATTATCTTCTTACCTTACGGAATTCCACTGCCTCCACTACCTCCCCCCCTCGGGTCAGCAAGAACTGGATTTCAAAGCTGATTAAACATCGTACGGAGCTCCAAAGCCGCTATTCCAGACGCTATAATCATGACCAGGCCAAGTGTCAAGATCAGCAGGTTATAAAGGATTGGTTTAAGACCTTAGGAGATACAATTGCTGAGCATGGGATTGTGCCAGAGGATATATACAACTTTGATGAGACTGACTTTGCTATGAGGCTCTGTGCCACTACTAAGGTCATTACTAGTAGTGAGCACTATGGCAGAGAAAAGCTCCTACAGCCTGGAAACCGTGAATGGGTGACTGTAATTGAATCAGTCAACGTGTCAGGATGGGCTCTACTTCCCTATCTCATCCTCAAAGGCCAGGGCTTGTTGGAAGGTTGGTTTGAAGGCCTTCCAGAAGGCTGGAGGCTAGATGCCAGTCCAAATGGCTGGACTACTGATGAAATAGGCTTGAGATGGCTTCAACAGGTGTTTATTCCAGCAGCAGATCGTCGCAGAGTTGGCAGATCTATCCTTCTTATCCTGGACAGGCACGGCAGTCACCTTACCCCAGAATTTGACCAAATCTGCAAGGATAATGCTATAATATGCCTTTGCATGCTGCCTCATTCCTCTCACCTTCTGCAGCCACTAGATGTGGGTGTTTTTTCAGTTTTAAAGTGAGTGTACGGAGATCTAGTTCAGCAGTGAATGCAGCTTGGATTTAATGCCATTCAGAAGGCAGATTTCCTAGATGCCTACCCTGCAGCAGGTGCTGCAGCCTTCAAACCTCAGACTATTCAAAATGGCTTCAAGGCAACTGGAATAGTGCTCTTTCAGCCTGACTACGTCCTCCAGCAGCTGGATATTCAACTATGGATCCCTACCCCCCCACACAGCAGCTCTAGCAATTCAACCATGTCCTGGGTGCTTCAAAACACCTAGTAATCCCCAGCAATTACACTGGCAGGTGAATAAGATCAAGGGCTTAGTGGAGGGTCAGCCTCAAGGCTTTGTGGAAGGTTTTGACCAAATTATCAAGGCCTGTGAATATGGGATGGTCAGTGTCACAATTATGAAGAAGCAATACCAGGATATATTCAACACCAATGAGATAGAGAAGCAAAAGCGCAAGAGATCTAGGCGCTGAATTGGGCAGGAAGTAGGAGGTTTAACTAGTGAAGAAGTTCAAAGTCTTCTAGTAGGCCCTATAGAGCCTGCAGAGCCTGTTGAACAGCCAGTTATTCAACCCCCCAAGCCTTCAGCTGCTGAGCCCGCAGCACGCGTACAAGCGCCACGAAGATGCAGCAATTGTGGAATGCTTGGGCATACAAGACTAAGATGCCCTCAACCAAGTGTAATTTAATTTAATTTAATTAAGCTTTGCTGCGTTGAGATAATTTGAATTAAAAACTACCTAGTTGGGATTAAGTGAATTTGCTGGCCGACTCGGTGTGGTGGCCGACTCGGTGTGGAATTACGTTAACTAACTAGTTAAACCAATGCGTCAGGATGGTCAGCGCCACTATTATGAAGAAGAAGCAATACAAGGATATATTCAATGTGAATGAGATAGAAAGCAAAAGCGGAATAGATCTAGACATCAAATCCAACACGCAGGAGGTCTAACTAGGAATGAAGCTCAGGATCTTATTATTCCATCCGCTGCACCTGTTGAACAGGCAGTTATTCAACCCTGTGAGCCTCTGCCATCTGAGCCTTCACCACGCCAATGAGCTCCACAACGCTGCAGCAATTGCAGCACTCTCAGGCATACAAGAATAAGATGTCCTCAACCTAGTGTAATTTAATTTAATTTAATTGAGTGTTGTGGCGTCGAGATAATTTGATTTAAAATCTAGTCAGTTGGAATACGGTGATTTTGTGATCTGCTCGCTTGGGAATTACGTAGTTAACTAGTTGGTTACCAACAGGGAATTGCAAACGTTGCAAACATCGGTCGACCTTATCTTCGCTCAAACCTAGACGAGAATATGTTTTGTATGTTCGGAAACTAATGGAATTATCATTAATTAGATTCAAAAAAAGACAGATCGTCTCAACCAGTGATTGAAGTAGACAACGCTGCAAAGATCCAGAAAATTGAGTGGGGCTAAAACCAGCTAACCCACTTCCCATAATACACACACCTACATACACTACACAGACGATATATTACAGAAATAACTTTTGTAGACTTCAAATGCCGACACCGAAGTAAAGTGTATCAAACTCCAGAATACACCGCAGTAACATTTCTTCCGCACTCAATTCGCTGCTCCAGAGTTACCTTCCTTCCGTCTAACTTTATGGTACGGCGAGGAGTGATCTGGAACCGATTCTCGTCACGTTGGTTGTCACGGATGTCAACATCAGCTGGAGGGCTTATGTGCGTCGGGGACGCGATATTATTTCTTTTTCCAGTGCCTAGTTGGTAAAACTCATTGCCACCCCACCAGAAAGCGTCCGCACCCCAGTAGGTATCCGTTTGGGAGCCATTTGTCGATCCTGAAACATTGGTAAAGTTGCCCAGAACAGCGGCGGCGTGGGTTGCTCCTACTGAAATGTGGCGTATACCAATGGGCACGATCTTCTGTGCGGTATCACTGTATTCAGATAAGCCACTTAGAGCCTTCACTTTTGAGGGTTTGTTTTGAATGTGGGTCCATTTTCCATTCCCGAGGACACCATATAGTCCCTTTCCACAGCTCCAAACATCTGTAGTGACACGGCCAAGATCCGTAACAGCGGTTGGAATCTCCAGGGAACTAAGAACTCTCTTAGCGCTAACGATGAAAAAGCTGTTTGTGCCCCCAGCGGCAATTCCTGTTGCTTTTATCTGATAGGCGCTGGCTGGATAAAGATGCTCCAGGGGAAGAATTTCTGGTGTATCGTTGAATGGAGTTAGGATATTTGTATCCAAACCTAACTGACCGGAGACATTATCACCAAATACGAAGACCCGCCCAGCTTTATCAAGTACCAAAGAATGGCAATCGCCAGCTGCGATATTGGTAATATATATTCCACGTAGCGTGCTAACTTCGTGGCATAGGTCATATGGCCCCTTGGGTCGATTGTTCCACGTCAGCCCTGGAATACCAAGCTGACCACGCGAAGGGAAATGTTCTGAGCCAACAGCAGCAGAAAAGACGCGACCAGAATTCGTCAACAAAAGTGCATGTTCCAGTCCTCCACTGATTGCGATCACCCTTTCACCCAACCCAAGTTGTGGTTGAAGCGGGCGGTAACTCAGCTCAGCCTGCGTTCTCCAAAAGGGAATCCAGGAGCTTTCGTAAGGTTTTCGGCCATTCTCCTGCTCAGATTTTGATACAGGGAGTGAATAAACATTTCCATTTGACGACAACGCAATGATCCGGTCTACTGAAATGCACAAGGACACAAGGTCTTTGCCTTTGAGAGTCTTGGTTGGTTTGTAATCAGTCCTTGAATAGCCTTTGCCCCATTGGATCAAATCTCCATTTTCTGAAATTGCAGCGCCAAAATTTTGATCGAGTTTGACATCACGAAGAACCATGCCATCAAAATATGGTATCCTTCTTGGAGCCTTGATGACATATTCATTCGAGTCCGGGTTCGCAACCGATCCTGCGTTTGATCCCCAAGCGTACAACCCCGGACGCTCCCAACTCCTTTTTACCTGGACATGTTGTGGGCTGAGTGACTCTCTGTTTGCTTCTGTTGATAGATTCTTGTCGGGTTTGGCCTCCTGGAGGATGACTTTTGGCCGGAAAAATCTTGATGTTTCATCCTGATTCTCCCGTCTGTCCCTTGTGTAAAAATACCCCAGGGACAGAGCAGCAGTCACCCCTGCTACAGCAACATAGGGGCCTGAGCCTGGTGGTAGAAGAGATCGCTTCGGTGTTTTTGGAGGTTCAGTGGTAGAGTAGGGGCGGCATCGTGGGGAAGAGAAGATTGGTCGTTGGGCGCATTTTGGAGCTATGAAGGGCTGTGACGCAAGTCGTTTGCTACTTCCTTTAAACATTACTTTGTTATTTCAGGGATGTTCCCCACCCATCGGTCAATGTTTTGGGGTTTGAGCAGCTTATCGAGACACATAATGCCCGAGTTAATTGATGTCACTTCATCTACGGAGACTCTGAGGGAAAGTTTATACGGAACCTCGGAAGCTAATTTGCTGACTAATTTTTGTGGAGAATTGGCGGCAAAATCAGGCAGAATTGTTGCTTACCCAGAGACACTTCACAGCTAAATAAAGGTGTCCATTTCAACAAGATGTTGAAGAAGATCTTTAATACCCCACAATATCACAGCCTTCTTGTTGTTTAGAAGGTGGTGACTGCACAGCAATGGAACAGCGATGAGGTAACATTGCCTACTTTTATATTATCATGTTTCATTATGGCCCCTGAGATTGACAATCAACCTCGCCATCCCAGCAACGCAGCTTCACCGTCTGCCAAAGGGGCGGGCGATGCACGAGAAGGTTCAATGGAGGAAATTAAAAATGACGTTGAATTTGCGCAATGGTATGGCTCCATTGGGAGTGAGTTGCTAGAGGTCAGCTATGAAGAATATCAGTATGGTCCCAGTTTTACAGTTTCCTGCTCTGCAACGGCAACAAAACTAATCTCTCCTTGCAAACAGATTGTGTCTTGATGAACTAGAAGCTTCAAAATCGCACCTCGATTCTCTTCTAAATGACACTATGTCTACGCTCGGCCTTTTATCTAGACTTTCCGAATCATTCAAAGCTGTGGAAACGCAAACATCAGCCTTCCAGCACCAGTGTGAGGGGCTACTCTCTGCGCAGAAACGCAGTTCCAGACTAGCCGAAGATATTCACGAGAATCTACAATATTATGACTTTTTGGACCCCGTATCACGGAGACTGAATGCGCCGAGCGCAGGAAATTCCGTGCGGACGAAAGACTTTTCCGACATGTTGAAACGGCTGGACGAGTGCTTGGATTATATGCAGGCTCATGTGAGTGTATGCTCCATTCAAAAAATTTGCTATGACTATATACTAATTGTAAAAGCCTGAACAAAAAGAATCAGAGACATATAGGTCTCGATATCGCCTTCTTTTGACTCGTGCCCTCACATTGATCAGGGGCCATTTCGTATCCACACTGCGGGAGATATCTTCGGGAGTGGCGAAAAGAATTGCAGACCGGCAGCTTAACGATACCACTATGTCTGCTCTTTTATATGCGAAATTTCGCGTGGGTGCTGCAGAGTTAAAGGATATCGGATTAGAAATACAAAAACGAGCAGTGCCACCTGCTGATTCAGAGCAAAGCGCTGAAGCTGAATACCAGAGCTTGCTCAATGAGCTTCACAGTAGTTTTTCAGCTACTAGAGGCAAATTGGTAATACCTGTATTGCGGAAGAGGTTGAACGATATTGCGCAGGCTCCGAGCACATCGAAAGACCTTGTAGCATTTGCACGATCTAGTATCAGTTATATTCGTGGGATTTGTCTCGATGAATTTGAATTATGGGGTCAGTGGTTTCATGGCCAACAAGGGCTTTATGATTTTCTGGAAGCTGTCTGCGAGCCTCTCTACGACCACTTGAGGCCAAGGATTATCCGTGAAACAAAACTTGTCAAGCTGTGCCAGCTCTGCTCACTGCTACAAACTCGTTACTTATCGGATCCCGAGGAAGATGGAGAGTATGCAGACCCGACCCAACTTAACTTTTCTGTCTTGATCCAACCCGCCTTAGAGGATGCACAAACCCGCCTTGTTTTTCGTGCACAGACAATACTACGAGATGAAATTGAGAAATATAAGCCACGGCCTGAGGACCTTGATTACCCAGCTCGTAATCGAAAAAGACCATTACCAGAATCAAATAATTCCAATACTGGGTCGCACAGAAAGCAGTCCTTTGCTGAACCGTCAAGCCCTGTACCGAAGACGCCCGTGGTTGTTGACGAAGAGATTGATTCACCTCAAGAAAAGGATCCCCGATGGGACTTTGATTCCGGGGCCGTTTTTGAGGCATGGTACCCAACTTTGAGAAAGGCAGTTTGGCTGCTGAGTCGTATTTATCGCCTCGTTAATGTATGTGAATAAATACCTAGCACTTCCATCTCCCATTTCTATACGTTCTGACAAAATCATTACAGTCAACTGTTTTTGACGATCTAGCTCATCAAATCGTCCACCAAACCAACGTATCCTTACACACCGCAAGCAGCCAAATATCCGCAAAGGCCTCTCCAGCAGACGCCCAGCTATTCCTAATCAAACATCTCCTCCTCCTCAAACAACATATCGTTGCATTCGATATCGAATTCGTCAGCCCGGACGTCTCCTTTGACTTCTCCGGTGTAACTAACACGTTTTGGGAACTTAGAGAACGCGGCGGTCTCTTCAGCCCACGGAACCTCATGCGGCTAGTTGGTCGTGGCCTGCTACCCCGCGTCGTGGAAAACATGATTGATGCAAAAGTCGAACTAGATGGCAGGTTACGCACGGTAATCAACGACTTCACCAACTCCTTCGCCTCCAGGATGACCAGATCTCTCACCGCGCCAGCCAAGTCCACAAACAGGAGCGAGTCCTATAGTAACGCGTTGCGACTTACTGTCAAAGCGATCGAGATGGAAGTACCCCATCTTCGACAGATTCTTGATGATTACCTGGACGATACGGGGACGACAGAGACGCTTGTGAGCGCGGTGCAGGATTGTGTGATTCAAGTCTATGAGGATTTCTTCGATGGGTATACAGCTATGCTAGAAGCTGGGGCGAAAGTGGAGTCTAATACTAATAATAAAATTGCCCATAATGGTAAACTGTCGCCAGCGGAAAGGAATCAAAAGGCTCATGAGGATGGCGTATGGGATATTGACACTTTTGCAGCATGGAGTGAGGCTGTTTTTAGAGTTGGTGTTACTGGGTTTGAGTCAGGAGGTGAACAAGCTGAGCTTGGCGAAGATAAAGACGACGATGCGACCGTCGTCTAATGAACGTCGAAGCCGCAGCAGGAATAGAAGTTGATGCCACGATGAGTGTTTGCCTGGGCAATCAATATAGCAAGAGAATACACAAGTTCAGTTCATGCCTTCTACATAGAGATGTATATAATTTATACCCTATAGTTCGTCAAACGCAAAGTGCAATACACCCAATCAAATCTTACCATGGAAGAAATGATCACTCAACCCTAGCATTCATAAATAGATGATATATATTTAAAAGTTTCTCCTACTATTTTTATTTTCATTATTAATATGTCTGATATATATTCACAGAAAAAATAAATCGTGAAAAAAAGAGAAAAAGAGTAGCTTTCAAACAAGAAACGCCTTAATCCAGAAGCTCCTTGCCACCATTCACTCACTCTCTTAACCCATATGATTCAGACCAAATTATCATCCATATACATTCCATTCGAATGACCAAAGGAAAATGAAAACCAAAAAGAAATTCCTAAACGGGTATGTCAAAAGTTGCGAAAAGATAATAAGAGAGGCAAGATCCAATGCAAGTAAATGATCCATAAGCAGAATAGAACAAGCGAAGTATTAAAAGAGATCCAAAGCAAAGAGAGTTTCAAAGATTGCAATACAACCATACCAAACTCACCGGTTAAAGAGATTAACACCAATGACAATCCCTGAATATACGCCTGCGTTTTTATTAGATTTGTTTACGACAGTTATCAAAGTCGTTCAGAGAACATGGCGAATCTTCGCATGCAGCTCGGTATCCAAGAAATTGTAGAGTGGATCAGCTTTGCAAAAGGGATGCTGAGACAGCAAAGTCTCTGCAGTTGGTCGTTCGAAGGTGTCACTAAAGTTCCCCAAAAATTTACCACCATTAGTTTCACGTATACAAAAGTTAGGGGGAGCAGGTAGGAAAAGGAAAAAGTAAAAGGAAAACATACATCGTGAAACAATCATACATGAAAGCCAACGCTTCCGGTGTGATAGCCACAGACACATCATCAGGAATCGGCGGAGCCTGGTTCAAACTCCCCAACTTGAAAATCGCCCCGATGGCCTCCTCTTTACTCCACGGTCGTCGGCCCGCGAACATCTCCAGCACCACGCAACCAAGTGACCAAATGTCCACCTTGGCACTGTAACCTTGTCCCTGTGACTGGACAACTTCCGGTGCCATCCAGAACACAGAACCCTGCATTGAATTCGTCACGTCATTGCCGTAAATATTGTCCGTTTTCTTGGAGATGCCAAAATCGGAGATCTTGCAGGTCCCGTCCAAGTCTAGAAGGATGTTGTCCGCTTTCAGGTCGCGGTGTAAGATTCCTTGGTCGTGCAGGTATGCCAGCCCGCTTAAAACCTGACGCGTAAGGGACTTAACGACGCTTTCTTCGAATTTGCCATGTTTGCGCAGACAACTGCCGATGGAGCCACCAGGGATATATTCGAGGTAGATGGAAATGGACAGCTCACCGCGCTCGCAGCCAAGATACTGCACAATATTGGGGTGTTCGAGATGTTGCATCGTGTCGATCTCTTGGTTGAGTGCCGAGACCATCTCTTTCATTTTATCCTTGTCTTGGCCTGCAGCCTTCGGGCTCACTTCCACCTGTTTCACAGCCAGGATCTCACCATTATCAGCATTAATGCCGAGGTAGACCCTTCCATACGTCCCCTTGCCTATAAGTTGACCTCGAATGATTCGGAATGTAGCCTGCCTCTGCGGCACTTTACTCTGCGACCCAGCCCCAACATTCTGCGGCAAGGGAATCGGATGCTCACTCAGCCGACTGCCCGGCTTAACCTGTAAAATCTTCGCGCCGAACATCTTAGTACTTTTCCGTCGAAGTAAAGCGCCCGATTTAGCATTGGAAGCCGTTATGCTCTGATTTCTATGAATCTGATGCGCCCCCTTTGCAACCTCACGGATGGATTTCATACGCGTTAGCCCACCGCCTTGAGATCGATTGATATTCCGCTGCGCAACGTTATTAATTATCCCTTTAGCTTTCAATGTAGATTCATCTGAGCCCAACGTGTCCATGCTGTCCTGTGACATTAGAGAATTCAATGTGCCATGGGCAGCACGGTTTCGCAAGGTTTGGTTATCGGACAGCTCCGCGCCAAGGCTCGATCCTGGTCCCACCACGGGTGACATTGGTGGAGACATCAAGCTCCCTTCCACGTATGGTTCATCCAGATCAACGTCTGGGAAGAAATCATCTAGATGATCAATCATACCATCAACTGGTGGTCTGCTAGCCCAAATGTCATCTCTGATTATTGAATGGCGACGGCTGTCCCTGCTGGTTTCCGGCGATTTTGACGAGCTATTGTCATCATTCGCGGATTTATTGAAGCTTTGTTCTCCACCAGTCTCATTGTCCGTGCTTCGGGTTGACGGTGTATTCGAAGGTTCTACCGTACTTGGTGATTTGAAGCTCACGGACATTCCCTTGGCTGCCCGCGATCCAGTATTGACGGTCAGAGCAGGTTTAGCGGAACGACCCTGACCACCACTAATGTTCTTCATCGGTGCTTTATTTTTCTTTGGCTGCACCCCACCCTTCGCGCCAGCCAATGGTATAGCAAACAGGCCTTCATCTGAATCCTCATCCGAATCTTCTACATGCACAGGAACTCTGGAGAACGAAACTTCCGTCTCCTGGAAATCAAAATCAGGACCAATTGATTTTCGGTTTCGTTGTTTTTGTTGCGATTGTGTATCGGGAAGTGCAGACGCAGGGCTGATGGAATGTGAACAATCAGATTGCAGCGTGGGAACAGCTGACTTCGTTTCTTCAGGCGGAGCAGCGGGGTATTTGGTACTCCCATCCCAATCGTATAACGGTACCCTGAATACAGTATTTCCCTTCCCGCGAGTATACATAGGCACCTTAGGAGAGGAACTTGTTGGACTAGCTCGTCGTCCCCTAGCATTATTGAAATCAACGGACTGCAGTGAGCAACCTTTCCCAGAAACCGGCTCTGAAGAAGAAAGCGGAGAACGTGTAGAAGTCATAGCTTGGTTAGGAAATGGTTTTCCGATAGCACTTGATACTTTCCCAATGCCCGCTAATGCAACTCCAAGACCGTCAGCCAGGCCAGGTGATGGTAGCGCGGGACTTGAAGTCCATTGCTTTTCTCCCCATTCTTCGAATATCTGATCTGAAGGGCTGCGCTTGTGAGCAGAGTCCTTGCGCGGTCTACCCCCTAGTTTCCTGCTCAAAGAGTTGACTTTGCTGAGCGTACTTGACTCCGATGGCGCCGAAGGGGGTTTCCGTAGTGGAACGAGGTTATCGGCCTTCTTATCTTCATATGGAGAAATTCGAGGGGAATCGAAATCTATCACACCATCCCGCCTTATAGAGACTTTAGACGCCTCCTTCAGCTGCTGCTGACTTTCCTGTTTTGATTGAAGATAAGCCTTCTGCTTTCTCTCAGCTTCCCGCCTGTACTCTTCATGCGCAGCATATATTGCCGCTTCTACACCATCGATATCCTGTTCACTGGCATGCTTATTATCACTAACGAAATTCCAAGGTTGAGCTTGTTGATCATATGGAGGTGGTTTGTCCGCATCAAAATTTATCGCTTGCGGTTGAGGTCTGGACGATACACCCCATACATGGTGTCGAGCATCATCGTCTACTGGATTCCTGGCTCGCCGCTCTGCAAATGACAGACCCAAACCGGTGGCTTGTGGTGCTGGTGCAGGTGCAGGTGGTGGAGATGGATGGGCGAGGTGAACGAAAAATTTCAAAGTGCCATGGGGATCTGATTTTGTCCGGCGATTTACGACCAGCATTGTATCACTCAACGGATCCTCGTGTGTAATTTGGCCAGGTTCCGTAAGATAGATCAATGCACTTCCCGGATCCTTGATGCCCAGGCTATTACATATAGTAATGCGCAGTGCGTCTGCTGCATCCACATCCGTCACGTCTATCAACCGATAATTCCACCCATCAGGTGTGGCCAGAGCATATCTCTTTAGTGGTGCGCTATTTGTGGGATTCCTGGATCGTGGTTGGACTTTCTCATAATCTGAGAAAGAAGAGGGTGGCCGTTCTCCAAGGGACATGTCACCACCATCGAATCCAGGTCTAGCAAAAACCGATGTCGGAGGGGGCCCCTGGCGCGTGCCCACCGGACTTGTAGGCGAGTCGGCATTTATTTCCTCAGGGGAAGGATGCATGGAATCAGGACCCTTTTTCCATTTCAGTTTGTGGAAGAATCCCTTACCGTGCTCCTTGGGATACGATTCACCTGTTCCTTGGCGTAAGCCTTGATCCTGTGGTGATGGGCCTTGCCCATTTTTCTTGGGGTCCGGCTGCCTACCAACTCCTTGGCCTCCAAAAAAGCCCTGGGACGAGAAGCCGCGGCTTAACATGGAATCAGAACTGTGTCGTTTATCAGATCTTCCGTTCGCTTCCACAGAGTATGGGACATATTCTTGGTGCCATTGTGACGTAATTAGGGGCAGGGCTGCCACTTTGAGGGTGCTCCTCTGAAACGGCGAGAATTCCATTATCACTTGAGGCAGACGGGCTGTGGCCACGGCGCCCATCTAGCATTCCAAAAACGCTTCGAGAGAAGTCTGACCGAGCATCCGGAGTTCCTGATTCAGTCCGATGGCAGGAATATTGCTTCTGAATCACATTGAGAGGTGTTGCTTTGACAGTATATTGTTGACAAGGGCTACTTTCAGCAGTTCCAGTAATGTGATTTGGAAACGAATCCCGCCCCAAATTGGGTGAATTTTCCAATCCTCCATCTGTGGACGCACTTGGCAACATTGAATTCTCGTAATATCTCGTCCCCAGGGTTGCATTGTCCGAGGTACCCTGATCAGCAATCCTCCGTATCAAATTCCGCATTCGCTTTCCCTCCTCCCGTTCCCTTGCCTTATCCCATCCAGTGCCACTCTTGATGCACTCCTTTGTGAGCTGAGGATAAACCACCTTGTGCATCTTACTCAGATCTCTTCTGCCATTAGCACGACTACCAAGCTCCACGAAACTAGCACCGCATAGCTCTAGTACGCGAAAAGTTTCCTGCCAATCGTTAGAGAATCCGTTTTGGGCAAGCCACAGCAAAACACGATCGAGAGGCCAACGTTCGTCGGCCTCCTGAGCCGTCATACCACCCACAAAATACTCATTTACCTGGGCGGAATTGTGGGGTTGCGGATTCTGCAAAGTCGCAGTTGGAGGTCCTGGAGATATTACGTCCTTAGGGTCGCGCAACGGAAGGGTTAATTGATGTGATCGATTCCCGGTATTATGTTGCATAGCTCCATCACTATTCGTTGGGTTGGAAACATGTCTCATACTGTCCGATTCAATGGAATATTGGTACTGTTCGGGAGGACATCCGTATTGCTCCTGCAGGTCATGAGTGAAAAGGGGAGGGATGCCAACTCCGGGACCAAATGATTCACCACCAGGAATATACGTTGCGGATGTGAGAGGCTGTATCTCATTAGATATCGATCGGGAAGGTATAGATAAAGGGGCAGGCTGACGAGAACGAGTAACGCTGTACGCTAGATGTGGGTTTTGTGCTTGGTTGGGGTTGAGCAGAGGGGGAGGGGGAGGGGGAAAAGGCTGTGCCATTGCCTGATGCCTTCCCCACCCTTGTTGCCATCCCTGTTGGACCCCATAAGTTGAACCAGGCGGAGGACCTGGTGGAGGGGGCGGAACTAGACTGTGTGCTGCATGGGCGATTCGGGGAGGAGGTGGCGGGAAAGACATCATATGCGCCTGGGAGCCAGACTGCGAGATGTGATGCGGCGGAGCAGGTATATATTGTTGCCGTTGTCCATCCATAATGCGACGTTCGCTACCAGTTTTGGCTTATATCAATGATGCGCCGGTCACCCGCGTCTGGAGCTCCCTTGACAGTAGCAAGTTGCGTTAAGACGGAGTCATTCTTGATGGCAACAGAGCATATAATTGACTATATCCATGCGCAGTATCTATTGAGGGTTCTAATCCGTTGCACATGTACAGAACAAGTCGTATACAACAGGTTAACAACTTTTGCTCCTACACCTGCACAAGGGACAAAAAGGAGTAGGAAAGGTAGCGTTATGAGAGGGGGGAGGTGGTTGGTTACATACCAGAATATATCAACTTTCCCTCTCCAAATCCAATGATTGCAAATAAGGGCCTTACAGTGGCGGCGGATTGTCACAAGCAACGGATTTGAATCGGTCGAGCTTCCCGTAATCACGTGTATCGAAGAAATTCGCGGAAGGTTAATCTAGAGCACGGGGCCGTAAGGCGGCAAGCTATATGCGACGTGGGCAGAATAGTTGTAAGCACCATGACCAAAGCACTCCCACTACATAGCAACACGCAATACCAGCATATATGATAGGTTCAAGATACATACCTTTCCTCAGAAGAATGGGATCAGGGAGTCGATATACGGTGGCGGGCTAATTTAATAGGGAAACGCTTGCCGGGGGCCGGGGGCAGACGAAGCTGACGGTATTGACCAGCCAACAACAGATATTATTCAGGATACCAGTATCAAGGAGGATGAAGAGCGGGGGTTGTCTTGAGGAATGAAAACAAGGATAGTTTATGCCCACAGTAAATAGTCTAGGGTAGATATTCTATTAATCTCCGATCTGGGGTAGTTGGGCAGTCGGTGGACAGTCGATGACCAGTCGCAGGTTGTCCAGCCCCGAGTCCTAGGTTAGGCGAGCTCGAGGGCGCACGTGATGTCAACAGAGCAGCTGGAGCGGGTAGCCAACAAAAACACTGCATCGATTCTACCACGGAATGCTCCGTGGTGATAGTTATATATTTTTATTTGCAAGATCGTCTCGATGACCAATGATTCCCATCATCTACCAACTGTTGGGTCAATCGTCTAGTGCCATAGCAAAGTATTTATTAATGGCAAGGCCTGGAGCTAGCGAACGGGACACTTGACTAGCCTTGGCGCACGCTACGGTTCCTGGCTGTGAATTGTCATCACCTTATGCCCTGTCCTCATTCTGGAGGATAGCCACTTGTTTATTCTTTAGCCTGAGGGGTCTGAGAGATCCAAAATAGGCAAAGCAACAGGTCAACTCTTGATAAATATTTGGATTGACTTTATCATGTCTCACTCTATGATTCCACAACGCTTCAACCTCCCCAAAGACTCGGGCTGATGCAATCTATACCTGACATGATTAACTTTCAACAAGGGTGCTTCGTCAGAGAACGTTACCACATCGTTTGTCTGCCCCGAACGACTTTCCATCCAAATTGTGCTAACTGTCTACAAACGGTGGTCGGTGTACCTAGCAGCATCGGATTAACAATTTAAAGCGAAAACCTGAGCTTGGATTAGCAGGTATGTAGAGGGGCAGTCTTTAAAATTCAGCTTGTATATCGACTACGTTGAGGCACGTGTTCCCCCTAAAATTCGGAAGCTTCATTTAGTTATGTACATTGGGTGAAACTAGTTAACTTTGGCCCCAGATTTCATGAATAAGCTTCCAAAGCTCAATGTGTTACAACTCCAAATGCTTGGGTATTTTCCACCTCACTCAGGATCATCTACGTTCCTCAACTTAACATGGACTAATTAAGGGAGACTTTCATATTCATCTTGAAGTTGAGAGATTTCCTGTACGAATAGATATCATTTTAAGTCTGCTGTGGCATCTGACAGCTCCAGCGCAATTTATTCTGGTTTGCATCGTGTCCCGCTAACCCCTCAGTGCGTCAGATAAGGTGACTGGTGCAAGAACCAGACGTTTCGCAGCATAGAGGAGGACAACAGTGTGACAAAATGCCGTTTTTTTAGTCCTCAATGGGGACCAGTTGTTTCGATGAAAAATGAATCATTTCTAGGCTTGAAACATTGGGTTTCCTTGTTGCGGAGATAATGAAATATGCAAGGCAAGCCGCCTTTCACGTCTCTCCTGATTTCCCCGGGTTGTTTTCCGGGGTGGATCCGAGGGAATGTTTAGCCTCCAACTGCCGTTTGGCTGGGATTCTTTAGTTCATTCTATATTTTTTGTATGGTTTTCGTCAGAAATTTTCAGAATGCGGGGGATATAATTTATTGGGGCATGGCTGATGCCAGACCGCAACTGACAATGAACACGCTTCAGCAGGAGGTATCTAACATTGCCTGTGACCTGGTATATGTGGTCTCCAAATTGTGCCCTAGGTTTACCACTTCCCCTACTATCAGGAGCTGAATCAGCGCAGAACCCGTCAGCTCTGACATCAATATCTCCTTCAACTTGGTTCTTCTCGTCTCCAACGAATCAGTTAATGATCCTCGGACTCAACCTAATCACTGTTTCGCCATGGTCTCAAACCAGCACGCTGATCTATCTGGACGCAGCCATGGGTGCAGAAACCTAAGTGCTCCACCGACCATGTGTAAGCTTCCCGTAACAAGTGCTTGCATTCCGTCCTCACGATCACCTATTTGTCTCGCGAGCTTTACCGCTCTCTCAATCGTTGGATCACTCGTGACCGTAGCCTGCGGATCGAGTTCCTTCCACACCGAGCAGTACATAGCGCAAAGTTCATGGAATGAGGTCTCAGGAGCTTCAATGCTTGGTCTGTTTACATGATGTCAATTCATCATCTGCTAAATTTCCTCCTTTGTTACTTACCAATAGACTTATCCCCTTTCTCCTGATATGTAGTGAAAATGATGTGGTCCGGTTTCACGTTGTTTCTGAAGAGTGCTTGCGCTAAAAAGCGTAAGAGTGACACCCCATCTCGCTCTGATGATAATTGACTAAAAATAAGGGCACGCCTCCTTCCGTCATTTAGTCAAAGCTACGAAGTGTTTTGAACGAGGTTCTTCGACATACTTATGCTCATTAGGGGTGCTGGTGTTCTCCGCAAACCATTCTGCAGCTTTTTTTAAACTCAGAGTGTTATGCGCCCCATCCACAAACCATTGTAATTTCCCTTCATCTATAATCTCGAATCTCCCAATCAATGAGAAATTTTCCACGCCACAATGGATATCTTCAGCGCTAAGTGTATGGCCAGGTGCTTTGATTCACAGAAATGCTTTAATGAGCTCAAGTGCTGCTAAGGAACAGTTCAATCGCTGCACGGGAACACTGAGCACTCTACCATGAGTGGGAAGGCAGTCATTAGTTGACACAAACGTCAAGCTAGTGTCTTTATCAAGAGCGCGCTTGCGCATAACTTCCGCGGGACCAGGTTCCTGTGTTGCTGAGAACGCGGGTGCGCCCGGTTTTAAGATTCCGGCTTTAAGCCAAGCGATCGTCTCAATAATAGGTCCAAGTCGGGCAACATGGTCCATTCCGAGAGATGTCATACCGGTTACAACTGGTTTCTCTATAGCGTTTGTTGCGTCATACTCTCCACCATTATGGACCTCGAATATCGCCGCATCGACCTCTTCGCTGATGAAGGTGTGGAATGCCAATAAAGTCAGCAACTGAAGGTAACGAGGCTGCCTAGCGCCCTCTTTATTCAGATCCGTATGCTGGGGCATGATGCGATCTCACACTTCGAAGAAGTATCGCGTAAACAAATCCTCCGGCACCGGATGATCATCGATTTGTATTCTCTCGCGAATGCATTGCAAACTTGGACCAGTATAAAGCCCAATCCGCTTGGGGAATCCTGTTCGCACGCTATGGGCGCGAAGAAAACTGCGTGTAAAATTGCAAGTGCTGCCTTTCCCTTTCGTACCGCTGACATGGATGACATTCAAGCCGTTGGTCTCCTATCCTAGATCAGGTCAGGACGACCAGTGTGTCTGTCATAGGTCATTGGTTATTGTAGCAGCCACTCTTTCACTCCAACAAAGCTCGGCACACCTTTGAGAGAATTTTGTTTATTTGTCGTTGCGTCTCCCGCTGCCGAAACCGAAGGGGCCGGACTCTTCAGTCTGCTGCTACGTCTTGTTTCGGAGGAGCCTGAGTGCATTCTATGCATCATCAGTTCTAGCGTAACATTTATACAGGGAGAGGAAGAAATACCAAGTAAGTCCGCTTCATTGTGGCTTTTTTGATAGGTTAATCAGAGTATGTCGATTTGATACCTGCTCTTGAGATCATCCCCTTGGTTCGTATACAGTTCGTCATAGCTCGGACATCTACTACCTAGATAAGGTAATCATTGGTCGAATTTTCGGCCGGAATAACCCTCGGCGTAGTTCAGATTGCTCACCCCATTAAAATTAACACCACCACCTGAGGACACTATAGGGGGATGACTATATATTATCTATAACCCTCAAACCCTAGTAAATGAGGTTTGAGGACTTCTGTTATGCCGCCTATCCCTTTTACATTTGGTTTGGCGGTTAAGCTAACTAACTCGTGATTGCCAAGTGTCAAATGCCGGCGCGTAAGTACTTCAGATCCGAGTGGGCATAGACCCCTTCTTAGGTGATTAAATCCCCCCAGTAGTTGTGGATCGCTAAAATATGCAAAGCAGCATAACATTAGCTCAGAGCTTACTTTTTTCGCTGAACTGGAGATAGCGTCTAGTGCCACGTTTGGAACAAACATTCTTACGGAGTAAGTACAAGGCACCCACCGATACAAACTCGTCACTCCGGCGAAACAATGCCGATGCTCCCTTTCTATCTGGCGTGACACTTGGACAGGATGAGGGATTACTTTTATCCCTCAGACTCCCATGATACTGTAACCCCGGCCCCGAGAGCCAAGTTGTGCAAACCTAATTCATGTAGCCTAAACCCAGCCAAGCCGCGGTATGCATTTTGACTTGACATTAAGCATCATTAAGCATCATCTGTGCAACAGCCATCCTCCCCGATCGAGCGACCTAGTTACAAACTCAGTCGTACTTTTTCGATGAAGAACATCCACAGAGCATTATTGGAGTCATAAGAGCAGTTTCATATCGCATCTATTATTTCCTCCGTATTCCACATTGGGTGAAAATAATCCCGTTCTGTTCTCGTCACATACTGCAATATTCTCATTATTTCCCCGCCATCATTTGCAAGGGAACACCGGGCTGCGCTGCGCCACTCTGCTAGCCTAACTACTTCGTACAAACTTGCATGCAAAATAATGGGACCCATCCTTCCCCCCCCATTTTCAAAGAATCACAAGAGTCATTTAGAGTTGGGATTTTAGTAGCTTTTAATTAGTGTTTTGGTCTTGGTGTTTTCTTTTATTTCAACAAGCCTTCACCCCCCTCTTTCGACTACTAACATTGGTGTGGACTGTGGAGGACTGGGAGAAACGAGTCATGCTTGCTCGACGTTTGCTTAAAGACAAAGGGACAGCAACAGTTCTGAACGATGTCCTGTGCCCTAGGGCTGAACGCCAGGAGTTTGGAAACCAGGTATCCGTATCGATATAGCCAGCTCGATGCTCACATATTATCTACGTTGCTCTGTTGATGGCAAGCGAGCGAGTCAACAATCCGAGTCAAGAGGGCGCCGAGAAAAGGCGAAGACTTCTGATACCCTTGGCTCGCTTGGCTGACTTGGCTGGCTTGGCTTTTTCTTGGCTCCGCTTAAACCTTGGCAGGATTTGGGTTTTTCTTTTGGTGATACAGGGGGGGTTCTGTATTACACTCGTATTGGTACGGTGGGTTGCAGAATAAAATACGCATATAATGGTGTGGCTTGATCTGATTCCGTTCCTCGAATTATCCATCAGTTCTTAATCAATTTGCTTGTTAACATGAGATATTTGTAGGGGAAAAATTACTCCGCAGAGTCGGCACAAAGTTGAGTCTGCGAGTCTGTTTTTGTTGTATGTATAGTTCAACTAATTCCCACAGTTTCAGAACCTGTAATGTAATCTACAGGGGAGGAAACAGGAGATGTAAAAAATACCAGAATGAAAATGCATAATATGTCCTGTTTATCACTCCGTGTGCAACTGTTGTGACCGCCCTCATAATAATATAATACATGCCACTTCTCTCATATGATACGCCCGTCATCAGCCTAAACCCGCCCTAAGTCCTCAGCCTGAGCGCCCCAGCCTGCCCAGCCACCCTCCCTCATTCCTCTGTCTTGGCTCCAATGCCCAGCCTGTTTGCTTGTCCCTGCCCGCCCACCCTCTTCCCCCCTCGCCTATTCCGTCTTCTTCCCCCTTTGCCTCCCTTCACTTCCCCTCCCCCTAATAGCCTGCGCATAACCTGCCAATAAATCCCTGCCGCTTGAGTTGGGAGGTGTATTGACAGAGGAGGGATTTTTAGTGTTATGTGAATG